TCAGATTAGTTTAACAGTATTTTCTGAACAATGAGCAAAAATTAAAAGAGCTCTTCTAATAGTAGAAGTGCCGACCGCTTTTGAATTTTGATGCCACGCAACAAACTTGCCGGGTCAAATGCTGCTCCAATCAGAAAAATTAATTTTTAAAAATTGAGATTTTCTGTACCATGGTACACCTGAAAGTAAATAGCACCACGATTTGAACCTTGCGACTTTCCAACCCTTAAGACAAACTATAATCCCCGTCAAGTAATTTCAAAAGTAGTGAGTTTTAACGAAAACTTGCCGGGGCTTTGTCAGCACGAACCGAGCCAGAAAACGCTAGAGAGGACTAAGGACCGTATCGTCAGTCGTTCCTACAATAATTGTAGGACGCCTTCATGGCCTCCTTGATTTGCATAGTTTTTCGTGTCCTTGAGAAAGGCGCTCTATTTTGAGGTTATGTTACAAATATCTGTTTGCATCAAATTATTCAGCCTTTTGATTTTTATCATCTGTTTTATCAGCCTGGATTTTCCTACAATCCAAAAAGAAAGCATAATTAGGAGTGCGCTGACACTGACACGGAACAGTAGAAATCTAGAAATACCTCAGCCTTTTTGAAGGAGAGAAAATACTATGAAAATCAAGGAGGCCGTAAAGGCGTCCTACAATTTATTACGATTACGATACGGCCGATGAGTACGGACAGAGGCGACCAACATGTACATCACCTGAGGCATGCGTAAGATGTTTTAAAAGTTTCCGTTAATTTATTTGATTTGTTATATTTGTTAATTTTTGATTTTTTCTGGAAAAATTAAACCTCGTAAACATAAACGTGATATTTGAAAATTCCAATATGGCCATTGGGCACCATCCTAAAACAATCTTTTAAATACAATGAGGGGTTTATCTGATATATCATTTTGAAGTTCGTTTATAAACCTAGAATATAAAATCGGTATCGTTTAAAATATCGAAATGGGAGTTGTCAAAGTAGAGCTTTATTATGCATTGAATTGCTTATAACTTAACAAAAAATCATCAAAACGCCATATTATATATCGGGTTTTCCAATAGGGACTTGACACCTTTGAACTTTCACTGTGAACGCAGCTTTAAATCAATTACCGAACTGTCAATGTCAAAACATTCAGTACAGATACAGATAACATTTTCATTATGGTGAAGCACACGGACGAACAACGCTTACAAATATTAAAAGTTCGTCGTAATTCTCGTCCCAGAAGACAAGCAATTCATAGTCTAGTAGAAAAAATTGAGTCCACATATTCGCTGCTGGATGTTCCCGTGCCCGACTTACTCGGATTGGATTCTAGAAATGTTGCAAGAAAATACCAATTTCATCGCAAAATCATCTTCAGTGATGAGGCGCAGTTTTGGCTAAACGGCTTAGTCAACAAACAGAATATACGTTATTGGTCAGGTGAGAACCCTCATGTGCTTCAAGAAACACCACTTCATCTACAAAAAATAACTGTACGGTGTGGTATTCATTCCGGTGGTGTCATTGGGCCGTTTTTTTTTTTGTTGATGAAAATGACCATCACGTTACAGAGACATGTTGCAACGTTATTTTTTTGGTCATTTGGATGGGCATTAGTGATATGTGGTTTCAACAAGCCACACAGCGAGTGAAACAATAGACATATTGAATTCAAAATTCGGTGAACGTATTATATCGAGAAATGCTCCTGTTGAATGGCCGTCTAGATCGTGTGATTTAACACCTCTAGACCTTTTTTTTGTGGGGCCACATTAAGTCATTGGTCTGTGCCAAGAAGCCGGCGTTGTTAGAGGAGCCCAGAGCCAATATTGAACGAGATATAGCGGCCTTTCTGTCGAAATGTGTGGCCGAGTCATTGAAAATTGGGTTCAACGAGGTCGAATTCCATACATAAACTGTTTTGAGTATGCTTCAATCCAATAATAAAGTTCTGGAGATATCTCAAATGGTTTGCGTTTTATTTAAAAAGAAAGTTGTCAAGTCCTTAATGGAAAACCCTCCATATCCACATTCCTCCATAAGCAAGGATGCACCAGAACTTATCTAGAACTTAAATTTCTGTATACCGCATTTAAATTCTAGAAGAACTTTTACTAGTAGCTACGTACCAACCTATTATCTTACTCCAGTATATATTCTATATACAATAATTATAACTCCATAGCAGACAGTTTTCACATTAATTTTGATTATATCAATGAAGTTTTGTGTAACTCACCGACTATTACAATGACTATTTTTTTGTGTTCGTTTCATGTGGTACTTGAATGCACACTATTAGTAAAGTAACCATTATATTGCCCTGTTATTGGATAAATCTGTTGAGCAACTATGTATAAACAAATATCAATATTGTTTCATGGAAGGATCTACCGGATTGATGAACATGAGATATTCTAGAGTAATTCTAGAGCCTCTCGAATTTTTCGAACCAAATGCTCTAGATTTTATTGTACATTTCTACAGGCCCTTCCGGACTGAAGCCTATGGTAGTACCCAGTATGTTGTTTCAACATGTGAATTTATTTGATCAGAGAAACATGGAGTTGCATCAAATACTGTAATTGACATCAGCAAATTTATTGAGTCAAATAAATTAACGCAAAATTAGAAGAAATCGTGCGCTTGCGACAAGAAACGTTGTCCATGGTACTCGCTTCAGTCCGTCCGAAGCGCGCTTGACGGACCGGCTGATAAAACCCCGGCAAGTTTTTATCTCGTTACGTTTTCAATGTCAAGTCCATGCCACTTGCTGTTGAAAAGCGTACGCATTTCTCGAAGTCTTACTATGGAACGCGGTGAAGCAAGTTTGCGTTCAAGCTCGCCTCTTCAGAAACGGCTTGTTCGGTTTCGTGATGCTTTTTACTTTCAGGTCTATGAATTTTATTGCAGTGCGACAAATTTTTAATTTTTCATAATTAATTACACCGCTCGGCCCAAGTATTACGTATATTGAAAAGTGAAATTTCGTACTTTTTTGACATTTCGTAGGTTTTTTGTGACATAGCGTAGGTTTTTCTACAAGACGTTAACTAAGCACAAGCTGTTGTATACTTGTTGTGAACTTGTTTTGTAGCTGTACGTGTTGCTTAAACGTCAGCGGACAGCGAGCAAACTTGGAATCAACTATTTACACACTAAAAACTACCTAGTCTGTAAAATGACATTTCGTTGTTTTTTTACGTTTTTTAGGTTTTTTACATAATACCCCTGCCGATAAACATTTATCCCGGCAAGTTAACTGGTTAGCATCAAAATACGTCAGATTTGACTAGTTTCTAACATATCAGTCCCTGATATGACCAAACATTCGTAGTCGTCTCTTATAGACTACTTTGTCTTCCAATTATTTTTGAAGGACAGCTTCGCTTGAAAGATCAATGTCTTCGAGATCATTTTTTGTTAGCCAAAGTGGCGTATGATCTACAGAGCTGCTTAAAATGACAGCATGGCTAGGATTCTTGAGCAAATGCCGTCTGCGCTACAAAGGTTGAATATTATCGATAGTAATAAATATGATGCATCTGCTAAGACTTCGGTTACCTCTAATCTTACACTATAAAGGATGTATCAAATTCGACCCTCACCATTCGGATCTCGGCAACTGTAAGATATACGAAGCAGCTGGGAGCAAAGTTGCGTATTTACAAAATGCCGCTTAGAAAGCTTCGAAATTGAAGGTATTTCCGAATAGAGACGGAACATACCGAATTTTCCCAAAATCGTTTTAATTTTTTCCTGACTTTATTTGTAGTTGGATTTCAAAATAAATTGGACATCAACATAGACACTTTATTTCCTCTACAAGATGGCTCAATTAGAATCTCGATATGACGTTCGGTCTCTTGTCCTCCAGCATCAACTTTATTTTTTCTTATGGACGCTAAATTGAATTTAAGCACAGATGAATAGAGTTTTCAATTATGATTCTAAAAATGTATACGTCATACATAAATGCCAAACTTTAGTTATTTGAAAAAAGCAGAAATTCCTAGGAAGACCTTGAAATTATCAGATAGTCATTTGTTTCTCAAGATTTATCCCAAAATCACTTATATTTTTTCCGAACTTTATTTGAGATTGGGTTCCAAAATAAATTTAATGACAACATTTCTACTTTTTCTCATCTACAAGATGGCATAATTAGAATTTCATTTTGACGTTTCGTCTCTGAGCTGAATCTTTTGCCTCAGAAACGAAAATGTCTACCTTAGTTCTACGTATCGATAAGTGAGGATGAAGGCAGCTTTTAGGCGCCCTATTAAGTAAAAATTTGCTTGCATGGAAACAATGTTATCAAAAACTGCAGAAAGTTGTGCATCCAATGTGGAGTGTAAAACAGTTTTTAAACGGTAGATATACTTATCCTTTTTGCGATATTTTTTATCTACTTTGTATGATCTAGAAAGTATAACTATTACCGTCTTCTATCACTGATGTTTGGGTCATAAAGGATATGTTCTCTCCAGTTCGAGAAGGTTTCTGCTCCATCACATCTCGCTCACCGATAAATCGAAAAAAATATGTAGTAAGAAAACAACATGCATTTAAAGCATCCATATAATCATTATTGTGTCTATATTTAACCAAAACGCTATTATAAAATGACTCGAATACAAGCAAACGGATCGTCCTGATACTAATCACTCTTTTTATGCCAACAATAATTTTACGAGCTTCATTATATGTCGTTGCTCGTAAGACTTGCGTAATATCGGGATTCATTAATAACGATGCATATTAATTAGATTAGATACTTTATCATTTTGTTTGTAGTTAACTGATTACTTGGATCCTGACAATAAAAACAAAACTTTTTTGAGAATGCTACTAAGCGGAAAAACTCCAATTGTCTTATTTGTTAAGGCAATTTATTGCCAAATTATGAAACTAATCTATCTGATTTCGGTAGTCTCCGAGAATAACAATATAAATGAAATCTACTACATCGTTCATATCACACATTCGGTTTTTTTCCACAGCGCACCCGGATTAAAATAATTGTTCTGCATTGGACCAGGGCATTTGTGAGAAGGCAGACAGGATAGTGATGGGTTCACTTTTCAAAAAGCCTCTCACACTTATCTTCTGAGCAGGTCAGGTAGTCAGCTGAAATGCATGGACAAATGTTAGATTTTTAACGTAAAAGTGGTACTTCAAAATTAAGCGCCATCTTGCAACATTTTTTTAAATGGAATAGGAGACACATGACACTTTAAAGCTACCTTATAAGTACTTCATAAAATCTTCTAAAATACGGACTGAAAGACAAAGACTACCTAACAGATTTGTGCTTTTTTGCATTGAATAATAATAAAATATGGAGCATTTCATTTCAGCAAAATGTCAAAACCTATTAATATTTCATACTTTATTGCACATTCAAACCGAGCCTTCCAAATGAAGACGGTTTTTAGTTTTAAAGAATAGTTCTTGAGTATAAACGATTCATTGTTCAACTACATCTTTGACAACCCGCCAGTCCGCCATTTTGGGAAAACGGGGTATCACATGAGTCTCGCGCAGTCGCAATGTTGAAAATTTTAACTTTTGCTTTTACGTAAAAATATGGTTTTTGTATCAGTTTCATCACTCTAAATCTGAGCTTGCTAGTATAACACAGAAGATGAGGGCAGGTAAGAAAAGATATACAGGGTGTTCCTTAATGTCATGCTAATATTTAAGGAGGTGACTCTTGGACCCATTATGAGAAAAAAAAGTATGTCCTAAAAACGTCCTTTGAGACACAGGGAGATCAAGTTTTAGGAAAAAATCTGGATTGTATAATAACTGTGATACTATTGTAGATATCCTTATGAGATTTCGTACACGTCTTTCATGCATCTAGGTGCATTTTCTGATGTACAATTCTATTATTTCTACCAAAGGCGTTCGTATGGGTTTCGCATTAAATATTTTTCTTAAAAAATGGTTAGAATTTTCATTAGTGGGGTAGCATGTTGCACTCTACAGTGTTGGTACATGAGACAGCTTGAAAACTCTTTTGAGACTGTAAGAATGTGCTTGACTTCAGAATACTTCAACAACTTATAATGCCATACTTAGTTAAGGGGCAGTAAAATTAACTTACATAGATGTTTTTTCACGTTGTCAAATATTTCATATTAATTACATTTCCTAAGCATAAAAGCAATATATCAATTTATCAAAGTGAAAACCCAGTGTTTATTAAACTATACTGCTTTTATTCTCTGTCTGTAACAAGTACTGCCTTTTTGCCACTCATACCCTATTATGATGTTAATTTATTTATGTTATAATTCTATTTGTCAGAAAGTATTTATCATCATAAATAATTTTCAGAACAGCTGAGCTTCAGCTCATAAAGGTGCGATAATTTCATAACGTTCAAACCAAAGAAAGCTTTCTTTTTAATTATACTAGACATCCGTTCTACATTAGCATACTCAGTTTTACAAATTCTCAACTTGTATACCTTTACCGTACTATAGGATAGACAAAATGTTCTCTAAAATGCGTTTGTATCCTCCGTTTATTTTTAAAAAGTAGAACGTCGAAGGCGTATTAACAAACGATTTCGAAATAATCATTGAGGAAATTTAGTGAAAACTCTATCTCATATATGATCCCAGAGAGTGTTTTGTAACATCCAATATACACCTAAACGAATTCCTCTTGCCAGACATGGTCATGGATTACTTATTATATGAGAATTATTTATATTCTTAGAAACCGATGTTAGGCGACTAAATTTAGGGCCATTTCGATATGAACAGATGTCAAATATGATAACGTTGAATACGCTGGCTATTTTTTGGCTATGCTGATATACAGGGTGATAAAAAGTCGACTCCCAGCAAACTGAATGGATGGACCTATTATAGTCCGAAGTTTGACTGTACACATGTCAGTCTTTTGGCGTTTTTCTAATCATATATCTCAGCGAAACAGCATTCTGTGAGATTATAGATGGTAGTTATTTTTTTGAAACGTCATATCGGCAGACTGACTAGCAAAATATCACCAAACATCAAATGGCTCCAAATCTTCGTCTATTTTTCAACCTTTTGGCAATTTCTGGACGCATTGAAAGGCTTTTAATAAACTCGAGAATTATGTTTTTCGGTGCTTTCGGGGTCTGTGATCACTTTAGAGCTTATTCAGAATTTAAAAAAGTGGCTACATTCTACATCTAGGACTGAAATTCATAAACTCATAAATACGAACATCAACTAAATACATAATCTACTGTAGCTAATTTTTGTCCTTTTTTGTCATTTGCATTCTACAGTTTCAACTTAAATTTATTGGTCCATGTACAGGCGATGCCTTCTATTGGGCCTGTTTTGATTTTATATTTATTTACTCATATTGTTTGTTATATTTGTACATTGAGTGAATAAAAAAAAATATTAAAAAAAAATATTATTATTATTATTATAAGAAGTACATTCTGAAACATAGAAAACTTACATACTGATGATAGCATTCCCTACAGAGCGTTAGGTTTGGTTCAGTTAAGTTAGGTTGAGTTACACAGTTAAGGTAGGTTAGACTAAATTAGGTTACTGTAACCCACCAACATTGTTAACATTTTTCAGAGTCCAAAGATAATCTTGAAATCCTCATTAACAGTGCTAAATATAACCTGTTGACGATCTGGAAGTTAGTTGACTAGAAATGGTAAACCTTCACAAATATCGGATCACATCGACTTTTGATACTTGACAGATCTCCTATCTGTTGCACTAATGGAGTGCCGGAATGTCGATGATACTAAGTATATCCAGTGGTCCAGCTATTGTAGTAACCGTGGAACAGCTTGCTGACCTTTTTTTGACACTGAAGTCAATGAGCGCGTTCAGCCAACGATCGAGCGGTGCGACGCTTTTATGATGATTGGCGGTAGCTGTGGAAAAACTTTGATAGTTCGAAACATTTGATCAACAAAATGTCAAATCTGGTAGCCAAGTGAAAACTGCTGCCAAACTGATATAGCTATCCCATGCATGGCTAAACGCGCAATGATTTAGATGTCGCATGAGTTAAAAATTAACGTTTACGGTATTCATGACTACTGAAACTACCTGTCGTGTTCCTAAATATACAAATATATTTAAACAGCTTTTAAACCGTTTCAGCATTATTTTTTTTCTGTTGCTGATTCAATAACAAAACTTGGAAATTGACTATTGCATCATCTTCCTGAAGTTTTTAGCCACACAATATACATTTTTTATTTTCGTCACATCGTTCTAGGAATACATTAAAGGAGGTCCCATGCCATTTACTGAGTATCTGATGCAATAGGAATGAATGCAACCATTCAAACGTACAATAAATTACTAGGTAAAGATGATGCAACAGAATCGATAGTTGGAACATCTAAACAAAACAAAAAAATTAGTGCCGACAGCATACAGTGATGGTAAATAGCTCATTTAGAGGGTCATATTAATCATGGTAAACATTAAAAAAAGTAGAAAACATGTCCAATTGCATGTTTTATCAAAAATGCAACCTCAACTGTTATAATTACCTAGTTTTGAACAGAAACTATAGTAGTTTAAATTTTGCAAAAAATAGATAACCTAAATTTCTCCGACAATTACGATAGATTTCAAAATAACCATGTATGGTGGCAAGACCTATTCTAATTTCACTTCAAAGGTAGCACATAAAATTCATAAACTTAAAAAAAAATGTCGTCGAGTAGGTTGAATATTTCCTTCCCACGCCAAGGCCGATCTCTGTTGAACACCCAAGTTGACATTGTGGGATGAAGAGAAGAACCCATCAATTAAGACGGTAAGACCTTAATTCTTAATACCCGATGGATCCATCATTTTTTGTTGAGAAGGGGAAGGGGAATGAGAAGAAATCCTACTAAATAGCTCAGCTGTCGAACATTTTGAAGACACTAGAAAAAGCTAGCGGGTGGTAACGCCTAGGTCGGCTGGTCCTTGTCTACCACCTTCTGTTTGCTTGCGACCTAAAGTAGCCCGTGGGCCTACTTGTAACGCCACCCGGTAATCGGCACTGATGTATTCGTTAACACATGTACAGTCACTTGAACGGGAAGCTGTACACTGCGGGTAACACCTTCCGGAACAAGCATTTGCCACGGCATTGAGCTTCCAAGACAGTACGTCGAGGTAATTAGGTTATATACCTCAAATAGGACCTTCAAAGTTAAGCAAGAAGATAAAGATGCTGATCATATCGCTGCTGGAGTACCCCAGGGGAGTGTGTTCTAGGTAGTCTATTTTCTACACAGGGTGTTTCACAACTTATCCGACAAATTTTAACCACAGACGCACTGTTATGAAAGAAGTTGATTTCTCAAAAAAAAATGTAATAAAAGCCCTACACAAGTTAAGTTATAAACCTGAGTTTCAATAATAAATTGAAAGTTAAATATCTGTATTCTGCGTTCATCGTCGTGATATTAGAACATGCATCAATAATTTATTGTAGCAAATGTTGTACCAAACAACTGACGAAAACAAAATAACAGGATTTTTTGTTTTTTTATACTGATAATAATGTGTAAATAAGGTTATCTGTATCGTGGGTGATCTGAATGAAGAACGGTCGATATTTGTGAAGTTAAATAAGAAAGTATTTTGGGAGTTTATTTTTTTAGTTATTTATTAATAAAAATGACACATGAGTGCACTGATGAGGAGTTAGTAGGACATTGTTTTAGCGTACGGAGAGGCAGGTCAAAATTCGCGAGCGGCTTCTCATTTTTATGCACACCGATTTCCGGATAGGCGCATACCACGAAACACTTAGTTCAATTGTTTTACGTGCACGTGCTAGTGGAGATTTGTGCCCCAGACGTGGAGTGCATGGGGGTCGGGTTCGCCCACAACGCGTTTTAAATACCGAATACAAAATGTTGTGGAAGAAAATCCGGGAATAAGCAGCAGGAAGGTGTATTTGAATTAGTACGCTGAAATAGGATTAGACGCGCCCAAGCTGGCATTGCAGTCAATGGAAACAATTTGAACAGCTTTTATAAGTAAGTGAACTGTTAAACTGTATTGTTTTATTATCTCGATTTCTGTAGGATTCTTATTACTTTTTTTTTTGAGAAATCAGCTTCTTTCGTAACAGTGCATATGGTCTCCTGTTGGATGTCTTCTTTCATTTAGTAGGTTCTTGTACCAAGCGAAGGTTTCATTATCTTCCCAGTCTTCTTGATACTTTTTTAATAGGGTTTCAACGTTTTCAAGCTTTTTTTTTTTGCTATTGCGCAGTTCAATTTGCTTAGGTTGGTAATTTTCTAATGTCGCACCTCGTTTCAAGTAATTCTGAAACTTTGTATCGTTGTCTGTTCTGTAGAAGACTTCTAATTTTGTCAAACACTTTTCACGAACCCTTTTCAAATGAACTCGCTTTACTTCTTGTATACCACTGATTATCTTGAATTTTGTACTAGAAAAATCCTTCCAATCCAACAAGTCCCAATCTTGTCCCATCACTTTAACATTCCCAACTTCTCCAAAGATATTCCAGTATTCTTCCTTAGTGGTAATTTCAGACCGCTTTCTGCAGATCTTCTCTATCTGACCGAATACTCTGTCTGCAGGTAGATAAGAATGACCTCTCACCGGAAAATACAGGACCACCTCGTCAATATGTTTAGGTGTCTTAGTGGAAAGCCAAAACATTAACATGTGGATGATAAAAGAATTTTTATTTTGTCCTCCGCATGCATCGGCGAATAGTCTAACTAATTTACAACTCTTTGGAAACTCGCAATTTGTCAAGAAATGGTATATGGCTGATCCTATCTCATTCGGTCCCCTTTTCGCTTGATTCTCTGTCCAAGTGTAAAAGTAAGGATGTCTTGTACTAGGTTCTGTTATGCAAAAGTTGTATAGAGCAAGTTGACGTAAATAAAATGCTTCCCCTATGTTCATTTTAGGCAACGCTTGGACTTGCTGCAAGTCAAAGCATACTGTGAAGCTGTTCTCCGGGATTGCTTTCAAAAAAAGGTGGAATTGTTTAGCTCTCAATTTATGAATTCCCAGCTCAGTAATAGATTTTCCTTTCATAGCTGCATTCTTTGTGGATCTAATTGTATTTTTCAGACGGGTACATAGGCTACATATATACATCTTTTGCGGGATTCCCAAAGCCGAGATTGAAACAGCATACAAAAATATTATAAAAATAACGACGCGAGACTTTTATATTCAGCTCTACAGAGTTATTATAAAGTTTTGATAGTTTCGCAATATTCAAGTCAGATGAAAGATAAAGTCTCTTCGATTTCTTACGATTGTAATGACTTTCCCTTGCATGTAAATTCCCAATGAATTTTTTAACACTGTTTTTCTGCTCCTCATATTTTTTGCTTCTCCGATCACCTCCCCTTCTCTCAATTATCTGCCCTTCTGCCTTCTTTTTTCCGATAGTAAGGATATTCCGTTGTGAGATCTTCAAAGCAGCCAAAAACGTCTTTTGACACACTAACAGCCTCTCAGAGTTAATATTTCTTAAAAAATAATCCAGCCTAATTGCCTGGCCTTTATTTGTCAATGTTTCTTCACTTTTTTCCTTTTAGGATGCTTAACTTCAATCAAGTGGGCTACTTATTATCTATTATCGTTTTTACTGGTTGTCTATACACACACTCTCTAACACGTTTTTCATCCTCTGTAGAAACTTCATGACACTGGAGTGCAGTTTTTGAATGCTTGCACTTCACTTCAAAATCTTCAGCATTAGGTATATGATTAATGTATCTAAAACAATAAAAAATATAAAACAACTCCGCTCACTTGCTTTTATATTCAAACTTACCGCATTTTTTTGCCCTTTCTCGCTTAGACATAGTTCGTTTTCTTTTTCTCGAACCATCAGATGCGTCACTAACTAGCACTAGACTACTATAATCCATTTTTAATTTCGAAATATTCCGTAATTTAGCAGCAACAGATCGCAAAAGTATAACACGCACACTTCGTAGCGCCGGTAAACAACTGAACTATTCACAGCCGGTCTGAATATCCCCCCACTTATTCAAAGAAGTACTGCGTTTTGTCGTGCATGTGTAATTTTGATCAGGAAGTTAAGATTTGAAAAGCTGCGCTATGATTTTCCAAGCGTGGAGTAATGGTTGAAATTTGTCGGATAAGTTGTGAAACACCCTGTATATCATGGCCGACGTAACAGTTACAGTATTTGCAGATTATACAGCATTGATTGCAACTGATATTGGTGTCTTAGTAAAGTACAGACTGCTACCAATCGTTTAGAGAAATGGACCCACAGGTTGAACATCAAACTAAACGAATTGAAATTGATTCACTTTGCTATAGGAACTGAATATTGACAAGTCCTCCTCAAATAACGGTAATAACCGTTTTTTGAAAATAATGCTAGAATGTGTCACAGTGACGATCCTACCAAACAAAAACGTACCCGTACAGGCTCTCGTCTCTAATAGAATTGTGCTATATAGTAATAAGTGAAACGGAGCACCGACTTGTCATCGCACCTCTCAACTGTCACCACTATAAAAGTGAGGCGGTGTGCGCGTCGGTGTTCTTCCATAGCTATACACTATTTCAGAAAAATAACTTGTTCTAAATGCAACATGTTTCTTCTAACTCATATTATTATCACAACACATTAAAGTTATTGGGCGAGATAAGGTGCGGTGAACTTTCCAAGTGAATCAATAAAACGATTAAATTGGGTGAATGTTTGCAATATGCATTGAAATCATTGCGTCTCAATCAAGTACAATTGGTACAAAAAATCACACGTCTAGACACGTGTTTGTATATTACGCTTACACAAATACACATGTGAATATTAGTTTGTCTAAATGGAACAGAAGTAACAACTGACTCGTTTTTAGTTATTTCAGTTTGATGCACAACTCGGCCCGTTTATATTGACATGTCAAGAGTAACATCTAAATGCATTTTCCTGTAGATGTTATAAAATATATAGGAATGGTCAATATAAGCTTAAAACTAATAATAGTCAAAAAAAATAATAGTAATGAACTGTAAAGCAAGGCAAGACACACACAAATGAAACATTAAAAATCTCTACCAGATAAGAACGATATAAATATGATAGTTTAGAACGGATAGGTAAGGATATATGTAGTTCCCACCTGTAGAACTTGCCAACCATGTTTGAGCTCTTGCTTGTTATCCTAAAAATAGCTCTTTTTACCTTACTGATTTAAAGTGTCAAATTTTTAAGTTACTCTACCTGTATAACTATTTTCACAGATTTTATAAACAAGTAAAATTGGTACAAAAATCACACGTCTAGACACGTGTTAGTATATTACTCTAACACAAATACGCATGTGAATATTAATTAATCTAATTGGACCAGAAGTAACAACTGACTCGTTTTTAGTTATTTCAGTTTATTGACATGTCAAGAGTAACATATAAATCCATCATACCTGAAGAGTATTAAGACAATTTTAGTATTTGCGGAAACTGTGACTAATTACACATTCAAAATCAAATTCTTATTTTCCTATATTATATACACCTAAAACTAATAATACTAAAAAAAATTATAGTATAGTAAAACGACAGTAAAGCAACTCAAGACAGTAAAACAAATTTTACACACCTATTGAAACTTTGTGGCACGAGATGAAAAAGGTTCTACGACAACATCCTGCTAGTACAATCCCTCAAGAAATATGGGATTGTTTTGCACCAAATGTTTGCCAAAACTTGGTTAACACTATGCCCCAAAGAATTTCAGCCGTAATAAAAAATAAAGGTGATGTTACCCAATGGTAATCTTTCAATTGTTGCTTTGTTAACTTCGCGCATTTATTCGCACATTGCTTATTTGTTCAGATGTTCTATTAGTTATAGGTCTAAGTGATTTCAAATATGTATTTTTTACGACTAGAGTGTATCTAAAATGTTTTTGAGAAAATATATTGTTTTAGAAGTAAATAGTTTCGTCATGTTTAGTTTATAAAGGCATATTTTGGTACAAATCTTGAAGTGGGCCAACTGAAGTGGGAAGGGGCTCGTATATGTATATATTCAATAAATCAGGACAACTTAAAACAATTCTTTAATTCCTGAAAACATATACATAAGAGAATAATGATTTACATAGATGCTCACAGTCTCCACTGGCTTGTCCAACTCAAACTAGAAACTCATATTCCCAATCAAGACAAAAGGTAAGAACAAAGTACATGTAATACAAATTTTATGAAGATCTTTTGCAGAATAGTGCGCTTCAACAATAGAAAACGTAACATTTGATTTTTTCATTAATTGTTTAACTGTATTGTTTGTAAATCGGACTGAGAATAAAATTCGAATAATCTGCGCTGATCCAGAACGGAGTAGTTATCTATCTACTAGTTTAAGGTTTTACTGATTACGTACTTCATTTAGCAATTAATGATACAGATTGAGATGACCTTAAACGAGCGATATACAATAATGGATCACATCCAGGTTCAAAATTGTTAATTACACAATTTCCCCATTGTTGATTACGTTTGTGTATCAAAATAGTACATTGGAAATTGTATTGACTAATTTGAAACTAGGCTGTATTGGTTTTAACCTACCAATAGTTTAAGCTGATCATTTTTTCATCAATTAAGGCCTTTGTCGTTACTGAAGACTCATAATTAGGGTGCAAGCAAAAATGAACTTGTAGTCTCCCAGTTACTGTATCTGAATTAACTCAATAGATGCTTTCGTCATAATAATATTTCACCAGATTTTATAGGTACAGAGTATTATCATATTATAACATTACTTGTATAATTAATTTCAAAGACAAAAAGTTGTGTTCCCAAAAATCAAATATTCGTAGAAAACTCTGAAGACAATGGTAGCATTCTCGATTTATGCGCAACCTGTACTCTTATCATTACTCCGCTGTATCAGAATCGGTCTCCACACTCTGTTTGATTTCTTCTTTTTCATCAGACATTTTTATTCTTCTATTGCCTATATTCTCAAAGGACGCGAGCTTTTACAATGGCTCACCTTATTCTGTTAACAGATGTACTAAGTCAGGACATGCGGCGGTATTATGATCCCTTATTTCCTACATGCGAGATTGGAGGATTTTAGAACTGGACATTCTTGACTTGATAAACCAGATAAGAACTACATAAATATGCTAGTTTAGAACGGATATGTAAGAATATATGAAGTTCCCACCTGTAGAACTTGCCAACCATGTTTGAGCACTTATCCTAAAAAAAACCTCGTTTTGCATTACTGATTTTAAGTGACAAATATTGAAGTTACTGTAAACTATTTTCAGAGATTTTACCATCAAGAGCTTGGTCACTCAATGCCGTACGGTTTGAAACGAATCTCGTACGTCTTTGTTGAACGGTCAACCAACGAAGTCACAGAGAATATAATTTGAAACATGAATGACCAATCATAAAATCAAGTGTCATTCCCGATAATCGCATGTCTCAAAATTTAAGAAATTTCTTATCATCTATGCAAGGAATAAGGTATCGACCAACAATTAAACGATTTATAATATGCGAACACATCTGTTAGAGATGCATTGTGTTTATGAGAGAGGTTTAATCGTAGTCCCTTACAATTTGAAAATATACCGTTAGGCCTGTAATAGAACAGGAGTGAATCAACGTCCGATATAATGGTTGCATCATCAGATCAACATTTCAAAACACATAACACTGATAAACACAGGATTTGTGACATGACAATTTTTGGGTGTATCTGATGTATTTTGAGACCCTTAAGTAAAATCTAAAAACAGAATTTTTCTATCATCCACAGATATTCGGTAACATCTACTTTTATGAATTAAAATTCGTAACATCTCATATTGCTGCATTTCTCGGCGTTTATGCGATGACGCACATATATATTATAATTTTAAGACCTGTCTATTCCTGTTTATTATATGCAAGCTCTATGTTTAGATTGCATATTGCGTTTATTAGTAGACTAATAGCAGCTGAGTCAGTTACGTTTTCTATGTTGAGGAGTACTGAGTACTGTTAATTTTTGTTAAAACGGTGTGTTGTTTTTAGTTTATTGTCATCGAGACCAGCTTTATGGAAAATGCCTAGAAATTGTGTAAATAGTGCGAACAGTTTTTATTATGTTTGCGGAGAACTAACTTTTAAATCCCAAAAACATACTTTTACTCCCCTTGTGTTGAAAGCATACGAACTTTATTTTGGAACTAAAGTTGGCGACCAAGATAAACTATGGGGCCCCTCCACCGACGATATATAGTTCTCTTTATAGTCGGTGGGCCCCTCATTACAGGTTGGTTAAGAGCCGACAATCGTAAAATGCCCTTTGCGGTTAGAATGGTTTGGAGAGAACCGAGAGATCATGCTACTGATTGATATTCTTGCCTCACAAATATTAAAGCTATTGGACCAAAATCGAAATTTACTGTTAAGTACTTTAATGTACCATCTGCTTTGCGGCCCGTTAAGCATTGCGATGAACTTTCTGTCGCAGTTCCACCAGAATCTTGGTCTTTGGATGAAAAAGTCGAATCCACCGATTCTGAAAGTGATGGTACAGAAAGCGTAAAAATTTCCGATCCTTCGTTTGACCTGCCAGGATATTCAACAGCGCTTCATTTGATCACACAGGGCAAACTTAATGACTTAGTTCGAGAATTTAATCTGTCAAAATCCCAATCAGAACTTTTAGCGTTAAGATTAAAAAAATAGAATCTTCTCCACGGTGATGTTAACATTACTTTTAACCGAAAACGGCAACAAGACCTCACACACTGTTTCCGTCAAGAAATGGACTTGATATATTGCTTCGATGTCGACAATTTGTTTGACGCGTTAGGACCAAGACATGGTCCAAATTATTGGCGCCTGTTCATTGATTCCTCTAAGCTTAGTTTAAAAGCGGTATTGGTGCACAACGGTAATAAATATCCATCTGTACCTATAGGGCATGCAGTTCATATGAAGGAGTCATATGAAAATATGCGAGTTATGTTAGAGCATATCCGTTATAATAAATATGGATGGGGTATATGTGCAGATTTAAAGGTAATAGCCCTTCTTCATGGAATGCGATACCAAATATCGTTGTGTTTTTTTGTGAATGGGACAATCGTGCGCGAGATCGTCATCATGAACAGAAGGAGTGGCCACTACGTCAGGTATTAACTCCGGGCCTCAAAAACATTGCTCATGAACCACTAGTTGATCCCAAAAACGTGTTGCTTCCACCTTTGCATATTAAGTTGGGACTGATGAACAATTTTGTGAAAGCTATGGATCGAAATGGAAGAGGGTTTCTGCATTTAAAACAAACATTTCCGATACTTAGTGAGGGAAAAATTAAAGAGGGCATATTTGTGGGTCCACAAATACGGAAAATCATGAAGGATGATGTATTTGACAGTGGTCTCAATGAAACGGAATTACGAGCTTGGAATGCTTTTAAATCAGTTACTGCACATTTTTTGGGCAATGTGAAGGCGGACAATTAAAAGATATTGTGAGTGATGCAACATGTCTCTAAAAAATCACTTTTTGAATTCTCATATCGATTTTTTTTCGGAAAATTTAGGTGCGGTAGGCGATGAACATGGTGAAAGGTTCCACC